AGAATTTGTGATAGACAAAACAAAAATTTTAAAACACCGAATATACAAATGAAAATCCAACCATTCTGAATGTTATTCGCCGCAAGACACATAATTCCAATCAGACCAGCACTGAATATCGCATTCTGTGTGAAGTTAAGTAATGCAAGTGATGTCGTTGTTTTAAGTGCTGCGTTCTCGTATCTTTTCAAATAATGATCATAACGATCTGCCTCGAATTTCTCATTGTTGAAATACTAAATAAAAGTTCTCTTCATTACTGCTATCGTTAATATTACGTACATTACTGACGATAACTCTCTACAAATTCAAATTCAAATCGCAAAACACACTTAACAAAACAAACCTTGACTGTCTCATAATTGATCAACGAATCAATTGCCCTATTACCAGCCTCATTATCGGCGATATTCATTTCATGTCTGAATTTCGTTCGCCATCTCGTAATACCCAATGTTGCTACTGTATAAGTGGACAGGCACGCCAATGTTGCCCATGCAAATTCTGCACCACATTTCGAATACTATAAATTTNTACCGATCAATATATATGACAAAACCGATCAACGTTACCGATCGAATACAACTTGTGTGCATGATCAACGAATAACTTCATATGGAGGCTAGTTTATAATGGAACCATTTAAGTTGTGAATCGAAAATTTTCGATTTAACCCACGACGCTCAACAATCACACTCGCCCAAGCGAACGGCAAATATCATATCATTAAAAACTGATGCAGAAAAGTTTTCAAAAATCTTTCTGGTGAGCGCTTGCACTACAATCACTTTAACTTAAACTCATCCACCTGTGATCTGATGGAAAGATGAATTTGTTGACTTCATAATGGTAAAAAATGAGAGACAAATGAAACAGCGAATCAAAATTCAACGAACTCACAAAAATGGCTGTGACCATGGATACTTCAACGGCAGTTGGAACAACATTGAAGACAAGTGCACTTAAGACGAAAGCCATACCACGCGTACCACGATCGATCGCCTTCGATAAGCCACCAGTTTGACGATTCAAATGAAACGATAAATCGAGTGAATGCAAATGCAGGAATATAACACGCGCTATACTACGAACACTGTGCTGTGCCACTCGTGAGAAGACTGCGTTCCTGAGTTCGTTGAATAACGAAGCACCCGCACGAGCAAATCCATCTGAGATTAATCACGTTTTATCCAGTCACATCTCATTTCTCTATCATATCCCAACAGATTGAACGATACGCAACAGTCATCTAAC